AACAAATCCCTATCCATCTATGGGGATTTCGGTAACCATATAGTATGATCAGTCGTAACATATACATTTGCCGTTTACTGTCTAGTATCAATGGTTTCGGTGACATTTTACAAAAATGTTTTCAGTAAGAACATTTTGATAACCTGTAAATGTAATTAGAAAACAATGAATAAATGATTAAAAGTTATGGTAGGAAACAAAAACTATCGATCAAAACGACTAAATAACAACGAAACTACATGTCTTACACAGCTACGTTTGTTACATTTTAGTTGGCTTTATCAGAATTTCCAACACTAACGTCAAGTCGGTTCTTCTCTATATGGTTCAGAGACTTGGCGCGTTACGAAAAGAATTCCCAACAAACTGCAGACATACATATCAACAGCTGCCGCCTACGCTCGCTCGACACTGAAGATCAGATGGCCAGAATAATAAGAATAAGCAACAAGGAACTCTGGCTGTCAATAAATCAACCAAGAACCTATTATCCAACGAATATGCAGAAAAAAGTGGAAATGGATTGGATTGGGCATACACTGAGAAGACCGTTTTGAGACATCACGCGCCAGATCAGGCCCTCGAGTGGAACCAAAGGGGAAACGACGAGTCGGGCGTCCGAGGGTGACGTGAAGGAGATCATGTGAGGAAGAAATGAAAGCTTATGGGCAGTCGTGGTGCCAGGTTCAAAAGACTGCAGAAAACAGAGTGCCATAGCGACGTGCTACTAAAGTCTTATGTTCCACTAGGAACCCAAAGGACAAATAACAATAATACTGTTATGAAAGTTGACTAAAAATGTGATTTCAGAATTCTAACATTTTAAGGCACTCACACGGAACTTAACAATCAAAAAAGGGTAACCGAATGGCACGTTAGACACAATTAAGAATTATCATTTTGACTATCTCAGACTGGTATTTACGCTGGGTGATAATTGAAGGTGAAACGGAAACTTGGACCGCGGCCGGGTTCGAAAGAAACGATTACCGGGTTTTCAGCCCGATGCTCTACCAACTAAACTACGAGCATAAATACGAGTCTGTCAAACCACGGCTATCTCAGATAGTCAAAATGATAATCGATATGACGCTCCTCCTCTCTAATTCAGTTACATTTGGACTGGGATGAGATGTCCTGAACAGGCAGCCAGTGTGAATATGACCAATTGGTAGTAACACATCACGAATTCACATAGTAGTCAGGCAAAAACCCTTGATGATTGAAGTAAAATAAAAATCTGGTCAGCAGTCGGACCTCATAGCTTAGTTGATAGAGCATCTGGCCGGAAACCCAGTGATCCCTGGTTCGAATCCGGCCGTGGTCACTTCACCACCAATCAACACCCAGCACAATTGAGGATGTCATTCATTTGTTTAGTGACACGATGCCTAGATGAGTCGAATGACAAGTCAAGTATACACTGGTGTTTGTTTCTGAGACCATTAACGCTGCTCAAACAACCTTAAATTGGAGGGTTTAAACTTACTTTCCGGTTCAATAACAATTGACAAATCTTGAGGGAGTTGTGGAGATTTGGAATTATTTCAAGTTGTTATTCATCGTAGACTGACATCAGTTGGAGGAACAAAGGAAACCTGGGAGCACTGGACAGCTGTTTCGTCCTAGTATGAGACTCCTCAGCAGTGCGCACCCACGACCCCACCAGCTGGCCGCGGAACCTGAAGGTCGCGGGTTCGATCCCTACTGGTGGGGTCGTGGGTGCGTACTGCTGAGGAGTCCCATACTAGGACGAAACAGCTGTCCAGTGCTCCCAGGTTTCCTTTGTTCCTCCAACTGATGTCAGTCTACGATGAATAACAACTTGGAATAATTGACAAATCAGTGTTTCAGTGAGAATACAGTGTGTCAAGGCAAGTTTGTCAGAGTATGCACAACCTGAAATAATCTGATGTTTTGTGATCTATCCCACAAAATGTGAATATTGTAACATTTCGAACTCTAAACCACTCACCACTAATTCAGTGAGCAGGAACTCTGTAATTCACACATTCCAAACCACAACTATTTTGTTACTTGTATTATCCCGTCGTTGATTGGACCAAATTGATCAGTCTCTATAAACATCCGGATTCCTAAGCGGATGCTTCGATATTGCCTGAATTTCCAATTACATATAATTGATGGATATTGGCTAGCAGTGGAATCATTAATGCGCGTTTCGTCCTACTTAGGACTCGTCAGGTGGATGTACATGCCTCCCAGTAGGCGCTGCTGTCTCCTTTACTGACCGATTCGGTCCAATGGACAACTGGATAATAAAAATAACAACATAAAAACTTTAGCCGTACCATAAGAAGTGGCTATCGAGACTCGGTGGTCTAGTGGATAACGCTCCGGTGTTTAAAGCGATCCGTTTTGGGTCTGAGTTTTAGTGGGAACAACATCGCTCACTGAAAGGCAGGTACATCCATCCGACGAGTCCCGAATAGGACAAAAGACGCAACCTATATTCTACTGCTAGGAACTATCCATCATTTGTAAACGGCGACTATTCCAATTAACGCACATCTTACACAGCTAATCGGATTGCTTTGAAGTACGTATACGTATTCCTAAGTCCATCTTCATAACAGTAAAGTTGCAAATCCTGTTCTTATGACTTAAAGACCATACCGGAAAGCTACTATAAATTCGTTGACAAACCATAAAAGGAGCAAGAAACGATTAGTATACGTCATATGTAACAATAAAACTTCATTAGAAGACGAAGACTATCTGAAAAAATGTGAAATATTTGCGCTATACATCTCGAATAATCTGATCACACTTGGTTGTATTGTGTTCTCTGAGCTGGGTTGTTTAATCGTCCTTCTAGACATCATCAGCACTAACTTCAGTGTGAAAGCTTTACGATTAAACAACCCAGCTCATAGAACACAATACAACCAAGATCATCCACCTGAGCTACAAATATCCTCCACGATTTCGAAATCTGATCAAACATTTATTTGTTAAGGCATTATATATGAAAACTGGAAGTGGAGTTGGACAAGTATGACATAAAGGAATTCAATAATAAGGAAGAATGAAAAGGAAAAAAGAGGATAAGATTTGAAGACATCGAAGAAATCCGTTTACATCACGTTACCATGCAGATGAGAATCTAATGGCATAATTTTGAAACGAAGGTTAAAGTCTGCGGTTAGAAAAACGTACTATGCAGCTAAGCTTATCGGAGTTGAGAAGACCAAACACCTGCTGCAACACAGACCTCAGCGCTATATAAATGACTGTGTCACACCCTACAGTGTTTATAAATTTACATGTGTGTGTGTGTGTGTGTGTGTGTGTGTGTGTGTGGACAAACATAAATACGGAGGACTGGTCGTGTTATGCACTTGAGAATAGGGGAACATGTACTAAAATGGCTACAAAAGCAGCTGGATTCAAACATCGATAAGCGCAGGTGGCAGACAGCTATCATCATCCGTTGCAAACATATCATTGATAAAGTTCACAGGATTGATATTAAAACAGCCTTTGCAATTTTGTATAGAAAATGTCAGGGGCGTATACTTAGGCCTGTTGAAGCACCAGCCATAAACAAATGTAACCCCCCCCCCCCCACATTGTGAGTGCAAAAAAAGTCTGTCCTTAAGCTAAGCCTACCTTGGTAATGCTTATTTTATCGTATTACGAAGTTTGTCTTCAATCTTATCCTTTTTTTCCTTTTCATTCTTCCTTATTATTGAATTCCTTTATGTCGTACTTGTCCGACCCCACTTCCAGTTTTCATATATAATGCCTTAAAAAATGTGTGATCAGATTGTTCGAGACATATGGCGCAAATATATCACATTTTTTAGATAATCTACGTCTTCTAATTACGTTCATAAATTCATAAGAGAGACTAACTTTCAAATAAAACTTCAAAAATGGTTCTGATCTCTTCATGATTGCAACGGAGAACCTAGTGCAATAATGCAGGTTTACAAGCTACTACGTTTTGTAAAACAATAAAAAAGAATCAATCGGAAAATCATGACAAAGTATCATAACAAAAACTGAAATAAGACTTCGACGAAGATAACCACTGGATTATCAGATCTCGACTAACCAGCTCTTGTAATACAACAAAAACATCAGCAACAAACCCATAATTTCATGAATTTCCACTGCCTTTCATTTTCTTTTACTCTACTTCTACTTGAGGACATAACTGAACCAACCCAGTCACCGCAGGTTTGTAACTCCATGAGTGACTTGTCTGGTACTCTACGTTGAACTTTGGGATTTCTTACATCGTGGCTGTACTAAAAGCGAGTGAACTACGAAAGCGCTTATGCAAAAAAACATTACTTTTAACGGCAATATCCTGCCACGATACAACAGGATAGAGCGAACTGAAGGGCAGTCAGTCATCCTTTTATCTGAAATCGGGTATCTTCCGATATCAAAAATAGAATAAGTTATAGGATAAAAACTGAGGCGTTTGTGTCCCAGTTGAGATTTCGCCACCAACCAACCAATTTGAGTTGATGTAAAGTTTCAAATAAGTGAAGTGGTCAACCCATTCCACCACTTCACTCCTACTAATCAACAACAGTCGACATCATTGATTATTGCTGCTCCAGACAATAACTCTCCACAAAGCTTTAGGCCGTCACATGAGTTCAGACAGAGATCGTTGATTAACAGAATACTTTCTTTATAGTCAATCCCGCCACAAACCTCTCTATCCATGGGTTCGAATACCACCTTAATACTAAGAAATATCGCAAGATCGGGATGCCAGTAAATATACTTCTGTTCCAAAACCTGTTTATGGGTGAACGCCTAATCAATGCAGTGTCCTTGAAGTTTGAAACCTGCTGAACCTGGGTACATAATAAACTAGGGTCAAATGACTATTTTCAAGCGATGGGATGTCAGGGCAAGCTGGTGTATGGATAAGCTGCTTGGTAAAAAATAACCAGTTCAAAAATATATACACACTCATATTCTTCACACAACAAGAAATAAGAAGTAAATCGATTAGGTCGTCAACATACTTCTTTTATAGTAAAAAACAAACTTTTCACAGTCAGTCTTCACCGTAGCCTAGAATGTTAACCTCATACGTTGCTTAACGTAATTCAAAGTCAAAAAAGTTGACATTTTGACCAAAAGTACAAAATAATAAGTGAGGGAAGCGTATTTTTGCAAACTAAGCAATTAAGATACACAAATAGTCCTCAGTTTAATTAAATGATCATTTAAACTTTCACGATGGTCTTTACTTGAGCTCTTGACAAATTTTAATATCGCCTAGACGAACATTTATCTGCTGACCCTAAAAATTGACAGATTGTCTTTTAGAAGTTGGGAGAAGTAGTACGACAGAAAATCACAAAACAACAAACAGAAACATTGATTGTAAAGTCATTTACAAGGTGGCTTAAGAAGAAAAAGACATATTTACACTTGCTTCGTAGTATCTAAAACAAAATCAGTGAGTGCATCAACTGACCACATAGAAATGCGATTTATTACAAACAATCTATCGACCTGAAAAGATGCTTCAGAAGCATCGGTTAAAAGAAGTAAGACTATGTTAAGGAGATGGTGGATGCATCAGAGTGCACTGAGTAGGCATACGAACCTCAGAAACAACAATTGGATCTTTCTTTGGTGGGGACCGTGAATTTTGTTTACCACTTATACTGGAGGTCGAATAAGGATTTTTCTTTTTTCTATTTAGTGGTATAGATGCAGATGAGGTGTCATTTAAGCTGACCTCACTACAACGACGGCTACAGACACCTGAATTGGATGAAGAATCCCGTTTTTTATCGTTGCTTTTCTTCTGCGGTTGAACATCTAGCTGACATTCTGTATTAGATGAACCATTTATTTCTAGATTATGAGAAGAGAAATGAGCCCCGGCTACATATGTAGAGCTTGAGACGGAAGGGTGATTTGAAGGATCAGGTGAAGGGACTTCATTGGACAGGCTTGATAAACCAACCAAATTCGATGCACGTATACTTTCTTGACCAGAGTTAGAATAACACTGGGCATCAACTAGCTCGGTTGCACCAGATGTAACGGTATTTTGCGTGGTTGTATAAATACTCATATTACTTGACATAGTTATGTCGTGTGAATTTTGAAGAACTGTGGTTTGACAAGCTGCATCACTTTCCGAAGAGTTGATTGAACTTATAGGACACAGTTTTTGCGTACTAACGTTTGGCCAATCTTGTGCATCACATAGTGGCACAACATCAGTTATCAAATTCGAGCGAGATATGCAAGTACTAGTTGGTGAATTAAACGATAACATCTGAAATTCAGAAGTGATCGAACCAACAGAGTTTAGATTCGTAGTTTCTGAGATGGAAGATGAGTTGCATTGTATGTTTTGTACTTGGCAATTGGTGGGTATGTTTGAGGAAAGAAGTGGCTTTTGATGACCACTTACGGATAAAATACCTGTCGGATAGGTTGATGATGAAGATCCATTTGACGATTGATAGAGACAATTAATTGGGGCTGGTGTCAGAATAACCATTTGCGAACTACTTGCAACAGTCTGAAAAGTTTTAAGTTTGAATTAAAATGAGCAAAAAGTAATTTAGTAAATAAAATGCACAAGTTTACACGAAATCAATGAAAATTACATCTGATAACGGTAACTACCTTATTTCTAATTCCCATCACTGGTGCTAGAAAACGAATCCAACAGAGAATCTAAGTAATTATTTCTCACGGTAACTCAGCATTAGCAATAAGTGTAACTTAATAACACAGAAGTTGTACATTGGGAGGATTGTAATTCACACCGGTTTTAAGAAAGTCGATAATACTCAAGTAGTTAAAAAGAGGTTGAACTCTAATCTATGGTTTCATGATTAAATACAAGTGTCCATATCATTTAGAAATGAGATTTACTGAAATTACAAATAATAGCCAATAAAATTTTAAGGGAATGGTTTTACAGCGTACATGATATTCTTGGTAAAAATTTGATTGACTTGTTACTAAGTTTGATACCTTTTTCATTGATTTTTAGTGAATAATAACTGTTTTAAAACACGTATTTCTAGCATAGTAGCTACGTGTGAGTATACAGTGAAATCGCGTTACTTGCAATGTCTCGACTAGATAGTAAAGTATAAACCATATTCTAATTTCAGACCTTACTTTAATTGTACCAGTGCTTCTGACAAATCAAAAATGTCAAGTACACAGACAAAAAACCAAAGTGAATACAGTTACAAAGAATAGTATTTACAGGAATTGGTTGTGACTGTTGATGATGAACATAGGATAAACCCGTCTGATAATTGGAAGTTGCAGCTGTCCCGTAGACAAGAGACTGGAAAGCACCTTGTGTAGATTGAGAGGAGTTCCCATTTGTCAAGTAAAGAGTTGGGTTGTTTGTAGGAAAGTTTCCCGACTGAACATTGATACACGATTTAGAACGGCTGAAAGGTGAATCTGCATAACCAGCCACAACTGTAGCATTGTGATTTGGTTGAACACTAGCAGGAACTTGACCTTGAGGCACTCCAACAAAGTTAGTCCGATAAGAGGCTGTGGAGACACTTTGTTGACTATTACCTCCACTTGAAAATGAAAGGGGAACAGCAGTACCAGATGGGCCATTTTGTAATAATGCTACAATGAAAATCATGAAAGCATTGAACAGTGTAGAAACGATAACAAATTAATTCAGATTGAAAAAAACTATCCAAACTGAAATAAGTGAAATAAATTGATTACAAAGTATTGTGATGATAAGACAAATCAAACCTGACACATAACTTACTTGATGATAATAGAACATTGCGGTTTTGTGAGGAAACTGTCGATGAATGAATATTAGGAACAACAACAGGGTTCTGCTGGAAAGGTTGTACTAGCTGTGCAGCTAAAGGAAATTGAGGAGTGAATCCAGGTTGCTGAGCTTGCCCTAGAGCTTGCAACGAAGCAAGACTAGACAAGCCTTGAGTAGTACGAGTCATATGACTGGCAACAGGAATTTGTGGATGTAAACCTGCAGCAGCGACAAAAGCTTGAGCATTAGGAGCGGGATTACGGCGTCTAGGATCTGCTTTATCAGCCAATTTGCAAGTAATTGGTTTATCACCACCTCGAACAATATGCTTTGCTTCATTCATTTGTTCAACTGCTTTTTCCGCTTGTTCAGCAGTGGCGAAACGAACAAAACCAATTCCTAAAATGTCGAATCAAAAACACAAAGTTATGTGCACATAAGAGTTTGAAAGTGATGCCCTGTATTTAAAGACAAACTTGTTTGGAAGGTAGGTTGTATGAAGGTAGGCCAACATAGCTATAAAACAATGAATTAGTCGGTCTGGGTGACTACTACTATGTGCTATATCAAATAAACGATCTAATATGAAATTGTACTGACGCTTACCCCCATGACAATGAGATAAATTCATACATTGGTGAACTAAGTTACTTGTAACAAATAAATTAGACCAATGAACGCCTTCAGTCGAATATACTTTAAATAAGATTACATTCCAGAATGCTGAAACAAACGTCACAGTTGTGATAACAGATATTAACAGGCACAGACAGAGCACTCTGTAATAAGATATATTGATGAAATCCACAAGTTTTAAGAACTGCTTTTACACTTTGACAAGATAGTACCTTCAGGTTTATTTGGCAAACAAATGGACCAACTTCTACACGAGTATAAAAATCGTTGTAACTTAGTATGCAGCGACTAAGGAGACCCCATAACTCGTCAATTTCTATAGATGAATAACATCCACAAGCTAACAGCGAAGTGTGGCTGCGTTACATAATGAGAACCTGAGGGGCCGTTACAGAAACCTGTCGGTAGGGTAAGCGAGTATACTAATTGTTTCATTTCAACCCAAGAGGATAAAAAACAATTAAAACATACAGTAAGAACCAGAAATTATTAACGGTTAATGAAATAACCGGTAATACAGATTCTTGAAGACAACTAGATCGATTTATCGATGAAAACTATCAAATCCAAAGTCATGAACTGTTAGTTAAACAGATAGTTATTTTAAATTCCAGTACCAGTACACTTGTCACCACTATAAACTTTCATTTGCTTAAACATATGAAAAACCTCAGTATTTTTTGACAAAAGAGTCGTTAAAATCTAAAGAATTCTAAACAACGATTTCTCTTAGCGATAAGCATTCGCGGTCAACTAGGCTTCGTAAAACAAGTCTCAATAATTCTTAACATCCTAATTTTGATTATGTACAGTAATGATGGGTAGTGGCTAGCAGTGGAATCCAGGATGCGCATTTCGTCCTATTTAGGACTCGTTAGCTGGATGTACTTGCCTCCCAGTGAGCGATTTTGTTCCCAGTGGGATTCGGACTCAGGAGCGATCGCTTCAAACGCGAGAGCGTTATCCATTACACCACTATACCCCTCGCAGAAGAAGTGGCTAGCGTGGCTCGGCGGTGTAGTGGATAACGCTCTCGCGTTTGAAGCGATCGCTTCTGAGCCCAAATCCCACTGGGAGGCAGGTACATCCAGCTGACGAATCCCAAGTAGGACGAAATGCGCATCCTGGATTCCACTGCTAGCCACGATCCATCATTAACATAATTAGAACGCTGGCAATATCGAGGCATCCGCACAGGAGCCCATATGCCAACAGAGACCGATCAATTCGGTCCAATCAACGACGGTGTAATACAAGCAATAACACTAGTTCTAATTTTAAGCTACCTTGGTGGCATATCAAAACACAGCAGTAAAAAAAGATCTTACATGGCCTAGGCATGAAATATCCAGCAGTTCTTGAATATGTAGTACAAATAGAAAAAGAATCAAAAGACGAAGAATGAGGAATATAGAACAGAACTAGGAATAAATATCTAAAGTCAACAAATAAATCACGCTATGAAATGCTGTAGACAGTAGACAATACAAAAATGTGTTAACAATTGGTCATGAGAAAATGTAGGAAAACTTGAGCAAGGTACCTGTAAACCCATTGGCTGTTTCAAGCAGCTTCACTGAGGTAACATGACCAAATTTCTGAAATAAATTTTCTAGCATCTCTTTTGTGAAGCCTTCACGTGGCAGATTGCGCACATAAACATTTAGGAGGTCTTTTTCATTCTCATACGCATATTTAACTGATAATTTGCGTCCATTTGTTCTTGCATATTCCAAGATGTGTGCTTTAGCTTTTTCAGCATCTTCTTCAGAGGCGCAATCAATGAAACCAGAACCTATAGATCAATGAAAAATTAGTAATCTCATTATGTGTAGGATGGAAAAATACGGAATCCGATAAAATTAGAAATTTAAAGTAGTACTTACTTCAATTCATACCGCAACATTAAAAGTCATCAAAATATCAATTTACTGTGTAGACACCGATAAGTATATACCACCTAAATATATCATTATGTACAGTTTTAACACAAATTAAGGAAAATAAAATCACTAATCCACTCAACTCTTACATGTACATTCTTTTTCTTATACGGTTAACGAAAATGCCTAGCAGAGATTTTTTTTTAAACTGCAACAGAACTTTAAAGTCACTCCGGATTGAATTACAACATCACCTGATTGAAAATAAACGTCTCTTAGATACTATTTCGTTCACTAAAACAATAAAATATTCTAAAATGTACCATCATAGCATACATAGACACATGGCGCATCACATTTCAATTTCTAGAAACTGTAACTTTTTATGCCCACATTTTTACATTTATCAACAATCATAACACGCGCTACAAACTTTAAGCAAAACGATGTTTTATCACGCGTAATGCATATCCTACCTTAGTTGTAGCAAGTTGACAACTTTATTTGTTGTCTTACATGTGAGTAGCAGCTAAATTGCTTCTCTCATTTTTAAAGTACAACAAAGCTGATAGTTATGCGGCCACTCTGCAACCTCTATTAATATTATATTACACGTAGTCATGAAATAGTCGTGATGAAATGACAGGATCTACAAATCCTGAGGTGCACACATCCATGCATTATGCCTATGTTTGTTACAACACACCATTAAGTTCGAACTATTCGCACTCTACGCTTGCTAGATCAATACTCTAATTAAAATATGCTTATTATTCGATTAATACATCCACTATATACGCATGAAATTTAATCAGCACATAAAGCACTCAACAAGGTATTCTTATTCCTTACCTCCATATAAATATGCGAAAGAATAAAGAGCCACACTATGAGGAAAATCAGCTAAGTTGTTAGTGAAAACAATGATTGATATGCGATTAAATTACACCAAATACAATTAAGTCTACATCAAATACAAAGAACACGTTAAGCGTTCCTGTTCATTAAGCTGAGACACAGATTTCGACGTTAATATCGATGTGGAAAGTATGTGGTTTAAACTCTGAACGTAAATCATTTACTGGCTTTGAAACAAATCGATATGCCGTAACGACCAGAAATTGTTTCGTGGAAACAATACAGCAAACTTTTCGAAGTAAGTTAGCTCATAAATATGACCACTGAAGATTCCAAGTACACAAATAGTGATATATGAAAGAAAAAAATACCTTACAAAATGCATGCCATCATAATACTGATATTCTTACATTATCCAGAAATCTAAATGATATTTCAAATACTGACCTCTGCATCTCCCATTTACCACCATGGCTTTACATGATTTTGGTTGAACAATATTCTCGACAAGAGAGCGGACCGTATCATCTGTATCAGATTCACTTAATCCACTGATATACAGGTTGGTTTTTGAAGTGACAGTTGATTTATTTCGACGACCATGCTAAAAACCCCAAAAGAAAGAATATCAATACAAGTTATGCAACAATCTAGTTGCAAGATCAACTAACCAATCTACCAGTAAACCAAACATACCAATTGGGTTAATGGATGATAGATCACACTTAGTTGGTCAAAGTATATAACCTGGATAACAATTTTCGAAAGAAAGATGTGTTCGTAAGAAGCATAAAACACCTTTTTGAAATACAATCAAGGAGGGGAAATAGTAACCTATTTGTTCCTTCACATGGTCTCATATCATCACACATAGAGTTTACCAAAACATATCACCAACAATGAGTTCTATAAATACCCTGATACAGAAATTAGTAGTTATTTCTTTGGTTACCAGTTACACAAAACATCACATACTTGTACATACTTGTAGCTCTAATTTATCATTATTCATTGTCTCTAATCTTAGGTAGTAAGTTGGTAATAAGGTTACCTTTGATCCACTAACACAGAAATCAATCACTGATCTCCCTTTTCAGCTTGTCTTACATTTACGTTGAAGTAGTGTTGACAATATTGATTTCTAGTATAATATTTGAGTTTGTTCTTATGCGCCTACAAGTTATTAGTTCACACATATCTCCCCTACCCCCCATTCTACTTTAGTCTCTCATGTGAACTCTCGACACTAAAGTTGTACTGTTATTTTCACTTCTAAGAGATGAAAACCTAACAATCACCAAGTATGGCAAAAAACGAGATAGACTGCAATTTATTTTGATGATAAAACCACTCTCTACTTTGTATGAATGTTCAAACAAACCGGTAGTTTGTAAAACACATCAGAATAAAAGTAAATAGATGAGTAACATACTATTGGGCGCAACATCAGTACAAATCATGATAATCATGGGTTTCTCCTATACAAAATATTGAAACAACACATCAGTTCTGAGCAGTAAACATGTTGGAAGCAGTTACTCAGTTCATCAGACTGGAATTATAACTATGATTACGTGGTTAGGTACAATGCGCTAGACTTCACACACTTGACACTTGAGAACCACTGAACAAACAATATCATGTACTAAGCAATAAGATAACTATAAAACTTTGATCAAAGCCTAGTAACAAATCACTACGTAGACGAATAGCAATGAGATTACTTGGTAGATATTCGGAAGGTTAAAACAAATTCTACCTTGTTACAAAAATTATTTATAGTTGTAGGTCCATAGCAAAGAAATATCACGAAGTGAAATAACAACCATTAGCCAAATGTACAGTCAGTGATAACCAACTGTTACAGCACCATGCATCCATGAGCAAAATAACTCACGTGTGTTTGAGGAACAGCACCGAAATGTTTTAGCGAATCAAACGTGCGACAGCTCGCTGACATACTAACTGCCAATGGTGCTTGTGCTGGTACATTTGCATAAGTTTGTTGTATGTGACCAAGACTACCATTTCCCATTGCTGTTACCAAAGAAGGTGCCAAATATGATAGTGATTGACCATAAGGTACAGGTGGGTGAGGCAGCTGTAAAGGTTGAGAAACTGGCTGCTGGAAGTGCTGTATATGAAAAGAAGGATTTATTGTCGCATTAGGGAACTGACGCCCGACAACAGGTGGTTCAAGGGGTTGATGGGCACCAACAGAGAATGAGTGAGGAAATGGATAAACAAGACCGTGGTGCGGGCTGTATCCACCAGGTGCTGAAGGGATGGAAGAACCAGGTAAAACATTGGAGGAAAGGGTTGGGCGTACGTAACCAGGAGTGAGCGCACCGATTAGCATGCTGTTGGAATCTACAGGGCCGGAGATATGACGATCGATTGATATTGCTGGACCGTTAGCGATAGTTGGATGGCCTGAAATTGCAGCAATGATAGGCCAGTGTGGCTGCATATCTGAAACGAATAAGAAGGAAATTCTACACTGCTTTTATGACCATCTTGCAAAGCATCCAAGAAATTGACAACTGTAAATCAAAAGTTGGTGAATAGTCTTATTCAAACTTACAATGATCAAACGATGGTCATCATTAAAAGCAATTTTAGGTAAGAAAAACGGACTTGTTTGCATGTTATTTAATTCCCGGCAAAAATGTAATATTTCTTGTCACGATTTTTGAATAGATGAAGTCAACAGTATTAGTACGTAAGTACTGCATAGTGAGAATAGTTGCCTTCGTGAGCAAAACCAATTTTATGAGGGATTGTGTACATGAAACGGTTACGGTCTATGCTACTAAACCACAAAGTAAATTCATAATTAAGTTTGTGTAATTTGAGATCGGAATGCATAACTTTGAAGATAATTTTCGGAAGCAAAAAGGAATTGAAAGCAATTTGTGAGCAGTAATGGAAGGTATTCTACTACAGAAGTGAAGAAAACAGAAATGCTGGTAAACTGTGAAACTTAAAAGTTCAACTGGAAATAAATGGCAGGGGATGTCAACAATTCGTCTCACGGTATTGTTGGCAGACTGCCTGTGATAGCATATCTTCCTATCACGTAAAACAGTCAGTACGTTTAACCACTTCGCTCGTTACAGTTTAAACAGCTGAAATCTTATTTTGGTTCGAGAATAGAAAGAAATTCTTTGCAGCAAGCGAAAACCCCCTCAAAAAAAAACAATAAAATAAACATAGTTGTTATCTATTGATAGGTAAAACTGAGGGAATACAGTGTATATACTTGATGCCGTTGAGAATTGCCTGTTAAGATGAAATGGAGACGCGATATATAGAAAAGCACCAGAATGTTTCATCTGCAAAATCTACCAACATTTCATGTTTTTGATCGCGTTTCTATATACGAACGAATTTGAGTTAGTATATATGCACACCCAACAATAAAAACGCCTTACTTGGTTTTTCTGTTGTTACTATTTTCCCAAGATTGTATTCCTACCGCTTTTTTCCGTTTTTCGCCGTTTCAGGCTATGAATGTTTTGTTTCGATTGCTTGGAGGTTTTACTGAATCAATGATGCTGAGCTGATAACTTACAATATCCGTAAGTCCTACTTTTAAACTTTGTCACATGGTAAAGTATGATAACATTAATTTGACCATATTGCTATCTCAGCCTGTAGCAGGATTAATTAGGCAATGTATTCAGATGCCCAGATCTTATCCTAAAAGTCATCATTTTAAATCCAATATACACAAAATTAAGTTTACAAATATCACTAACAGACTACTGTCAGTTTCTTTTCACTGAAAACCTACCTAGAGAATAAAAGAAATTCTAAGAAAACATAGAAAACAGGTGGTACCAAAACGTGAGCGTAAAATGTGCAGCTCATAGCATTATATATATCCAAAAAAACAGAAATCTGCTCTGCGATCTTGTGTACATTCATGCAGTAGGTAATGACCCACACCTATTGTGGGGGCTTATGATACTATTTGACTGCCCAAACCTCGGTAAATGGAGAGTTCGGACCTATGCCTCACTGGTTGAAAGTCAGCTCCCTAAACCAATGGTGCTTTAATGCGGAAAAAACAATCTCAGCATTTAGTCCCCCCGCTCCTATTAAAACCACATATCTGCAGTTATTTCTAACTACAACGAATAATATTGAATAAAAATATTAAATGATGCAACTCAGCAATTTTGCAATGCACCTTGTACTAAGCTACAAACTACATCTGGTATATGACAACTTATAATACTACGCTGTGATCCAGGCTGAAGTTGGAATGATTTCGAATGTACGACTCAGTAGCTGGTACTAGCATGCTTAAACTAATGAACTACGATTTCATCAATGTGCATAGGTGGCGCGCTGAAACATTCTTATAAAACACTTACCGTAAAAATCTCCGCGAATGTACTGCCAATCTTATTTAATAAAAGAAATCGGTTTGATGCTTGGTATGAAAAAATCAGTCAATCAGTTGAGATACGAGCAAAAGCCCAATTAGCCAATCCCATAGGTTGGGAACGAAGATAACGAAAGCGCGTGCTGTATGGAAATCAGTATTATCTGGAACGAGAAATGTTTAAGACAACCTGGTTTTCAATGATAACATAGATCACTTCACGTCAAAAATAAAAATTAAAGTTCGGAAAACTTAACGACGCATGCAAAAGATTGATAAAGTAAGGTACAGCTAAACAACAACCGAATAGTGAAACTCCTTTCTTATAATTCATTGCATACATCTGTTAGTGACAATGCATTTGAAAGACTAGGGAAAAAAATTAAAACAAGAATATGAGAACCGAGGAAGTGCAATCGCATGTGTGCTGTGTGCATTACCGTTACGCTAATGATATAATGAACATCCAGAAATCACACAATGATATCGCACACTTTTAAACAAAAACCCAAGACAATATTTCTTCGTCTAGCTCAATTGTTCAACATAGGTATCGTTTCCCGGTCTTGTTTTCTGCTTTATTGAGTATCACCAGAAGCACGAAAACCCCCAAGCCTAAAACATTCTGTAGCTAACTGTGTTTTTGTAACCTTTTAGCTGGCCAGTAGCTTAGGAAAAAGAAATCGATTGGTTAGAAGGTAAGTAAAGATACAAATGTAACAAGTTCAAAATACAAATGTACTCTGGCCCTTGCTACGTGTAACAATTCATAATAGTGAAGAGCTGATGCCAATAGTTAACAAAAATCTGGCCTACGGAAACAACTAAAACGTAATAGAAATTTAATCCAGTCGTACTATCTGACATCATTTGCTATTCAACAAACAGGTCTCACTCACTGAAACCTAACCAACAGCTTTCACTGAATGTTATGAAATTTAACGCCTATGAAAACTTTCTCACTGTATTTAGTAGACACATAGTTTTATCAATGGAGGAAATGCCCTATCCCAAATGAATGGAAACTTATCAACACTAGTGAGAGCCTAATCTGAACAGATGAAAACAGAATCTTGTGCAAAAGTGCATCAGATTGTTACTGTTTCACAACAATGAAAAAACAATAAAAATAAAACAATCTCGAAATTAAAAAGAAATAACCGGAGAATAATCAAATAGTCACTTTTGATGATAAAAAGTAAGTACATCTGTGCTACTGAGGTCCACCTCGAGTAATATCATCGAGTCTGTTAACATATATTAACATCCCGGACACTCAAGTCATGTAAATAATACCTTCCTATTATACATTTCAGACCAAGAATCCAAGACTATATGGATTAATGCCACATTTGTTTGGTCAAACTTAACTTTCCTCCAAACTAATCCTACTCCAGTTGATATCGTGCGTTGACTTACGTAGCTCTGCATACCTAATCCATATATCCTTAGCCACCTTAATTGAAAAAGGTTTTCATAATCTCAGTGGCTGACCAAAATTTTCTAGCGCTCCAAGAGTTAACTTTCAGAAAGTACTTACAAAAGTGATATTAAATCTATGAAGTGATGGTAGAACAGTACGTAACTTCCCTTTTGATAAGCTGATCATGAACTTAGGCTTAGAATAAACTGCGAGATGTTCGTCTTCATCTCTTTGGAAATGTTTGATATGCACACAAAAGAAATATTTAAATAGGTGATAAAAAAACCCTTCGGTTGGCAGAAAGTCATGATATTGGTTTTTTGTCAAAGCCTAGATGAAGCTATGGTATAATAACAACAGCTTCTCTATATTGAAAAACTCATCAACTAACTGGATAGATAACATCAAAAGTGACTCGAGTGTGAAGTTTGTGCACCGAATGATCCTACTCAAGGAGAACTAGTACCGTATTTTAGACCCATAACCACGTTGAGAAGAGTACCAACACCAATGGACTGATAATATGTGAGATGGTAACCAAATTGATAGCATTTTCGAAGTATTTCGCAGTTAACATCCGTAAGCAGTTTAGAAAGCACTTCTTCAACATATCTTATTACCCTATAAGGTTCTGCAGTGTACGTTTTTGTTACGTAAAGAAATATACTAAGTTTGTGTTTATTCTGTAAATATCTCAAAATTAACCGGAGAGCACCTTGTTTACTAAAAACAAACAAGTATGAAAAGCAGACAAGCACTGGTGAGTGAGAACTGACCGAAGTTAACATGTCATACGAGGAATATCAGCCAAATCCCCTAACTGAATTAACAACAAACACAAGGTATCGAGAGCGATCATGTTACTGGGAAACACATTTCAGGAGAATTTTGAACTTTAACGGATCTAAGTAAGGTTGTTAAAGTCCTAATTTCGCTGATGATAACTTTCCTGTCTCATTCGGTTATTTTTATACGAACTAGCTAAAATATCCCGCCTAACCTACTTCAACCTGAGCAAACGCGTACTATCATAAGCTGACAGGATGAATGTGACTCATAACACAGTTCACAAATCTGCATAGGATTGAGTTACATTGATTCACCTTAAACAAACACGGAAAAGCAAAGCAGAACACTGCACACAAGTGCATCGGTTCAAGTTACCACACTTAGCAGTAGCATACAAAAAGCAAGTTGATAGAAAAAAACATATCAGAATAGAAAACGTTGTGTAAGAGCATAAGCATAAGCGCAAATATTTGAGCTTTAGAAGACATCAAGTAGTGAATATCTCTGTGCCACTATAACTGGTTTTCATCCGTGTCATCAAGAGTCTTCAACCACTGATTCTTATTGTCTCAGGAATCCCAGCCGGGTAGTCCGCACCTTACTATATGGCTCAGACAGACGGTTAGACCATAGACTGCTGTCACACCTTGGTCTGGTCACCCTGAGACTTTTTCCAACCTAATCCGATTACTGCTAGCATTACACATCGAGGTAGGCGGTGGTTCAGCATGCGCGACATATGTCCGCAACATCTTAGTTGGTGAAGGTTCACAACCTCATCAACTGACTTGCCTAGTACCCTTCGCCTGACTACATTCTTAAAGGGGGATTCCACCAAACGCGAGCAATGCTACGAAGACACCTGTGATCAAAACTCTGTAACCACTTCATTCACCATACTTTTGATGGCTATGCCACCTTATAACAGTGAGGAATGAACTACGGCGCAGGATACTTGTCGTTTGGTAAATAGACAGATACCTCGTTAATTAGCGTCAGAGTGGACTCAAGTTAGCAAATGCCAAACGGGCCTTCTGTATCCTAGCTGGGATTTTGTAAGCAACGAGCTCGTTTGGGATGATGCAACTCCCCATGTAAGTGGAGTAGTCGACATTCAACCACTTCACTCCCTATCATTAAACTAGAAGTGCTTGCAGGAGACTAGTCTTAGAGCATCATTTAACATTCGACAGGTGCCATATGCATCCCAAACACACCCAGATTTCTGCTCAACATGTTCAGAAGACCCTACATTTTTTCAGCGTCACCTAGTATTCCAATATCGTCTGCATATTGCAAGTCAACCGGATGGCCATTATGGAGTACATCTATCCCTGTAAGGGCAGACACCTGTTATTTCCATTAATACGCCTATTACAAAGTTAGGTAAGGTTGGTGACAGTTGGCACCTGTGGCATGCACCACTAGTTATCAATTCTGATGAACTCTCCACAAGCCTTTACAGTGGACCTGTCGCTCAGTGGTTTAGGGCGGTGACCAACCACTGGGTCACGGGTTTGAGCTCCACCCCACCCACCGAGATTTGGACAACCAGGCAGTATCACTAGCCCTCGTACAACAGGTATTGCTTATTGCCTACCTTACAGATGCGCACAAGGTAGCTGGTTGAGTTTTTCTCAAAAGCTCTTACATGGCTGCGCGAGTTTGGCACTCTCTGATTCCCATACGCTCCCTCTAACCTCCGTCACTTTAATCAGCAAGTTCCTAGCTGCACTCTTGAAAACCTCAGTTGACAGATTCTCAGGTCCCGCTGCTTTGCGTCGTTTCGGGTTCGATACAGCCTTCTCAACTTCTAGGAGTTAGAGGACCAACAACTAGGTCCCAATTCAAGTCCAGGCTGGATTTTGGGCAGCTGAAGCACTGCTGTGACCAGTTGAATTGTGCTTCTACATGTTTTGCCCAACCTAACGGTTTGTCCTGGGAGGTTATCAGCGTCCCATCCTCTCAGGTGGTTTCACTGACCGTCTCCTTCTTGCCGGTATCTTTAATAAGCCTAAATAGTTGCCAGGTTTTACCTGAAGCTGATACCTTCTTCGTCAATGGCTGTCGTCACCGACCACTCCTTGGGATAATTACGAAGACTCAGTTAGTTTCCGTTTGAAGTGATTTCGCTCTTCATTGTTTTCACAGCCAGCTGGAATCGATCTGCTCGCATCATTCAGTTCGGATGACGTGGAAATCCACTTACGTTTGCTAACCTATGGGTGTAGGTTACCAACTATCTTTACCACTGTTTCTACAGCAGACTTAGTATCACGCTAGTTTTCCTCAGGGTGGGTACTGCTGTCATGCTCAGATTAATGCTTAGTCAACCCCTCACTTATTGCGCATTTGGCGTCTTCATATTCCAATTGGGCATAGACTACCACCTGTTTTCTGCGAATAGTCAGGTGCAGACGTACACTAGCCCGTACTAACGCATCATCCTACAAACCAATACTCCAGAAAGAGTGGCAGTCCGTCAGTGACCCTCTTCAACGATGGCTTGAAGCAATACGACCTGTGTCCACCGTTGAAGTCGGCGAATACCACGTGAGACAGTCTCTTATGCTTAAAGTTAGTACTAGCCAGAAAAAAATTGCAACAGACGATCACTGTTGTCTGTTTGATGGCATGGAATACCTTGGATGCCTTTCCAACTGGTTCAGCCTCCCTACTTGGGCGGTGAAGTCGTCTGCCATTATAACTATCTGAGCGCTTTGCTTTTTGTAGCAAAGCTGGCAGCTCACAGAATCCATCTTTGGCGTCATCTGGGCTGTAGTCGATGAGTAGTTAGATTAGGCTGAAAGAAGTCTCAGGGTGACCAGACCAAGGTGTGACAGCAGTCTATGGTCTAACCGTCTGTCTGAGCCATATAGTAAGGTGCGGACTACCCGGCTGGGATTCCTGAGACAATAAGAATCAGTGGTTGAAGACTCTTGATGACACGGATGAAAACCAGTTATAGTGGCACAGAGATATTCACTACTTGATGTCTTCTAAAGCTCAAATATTTGCGCTTATGCTTATGCTCTTACACAACGTTTTCTATTCTGATATGTTTTTTTCTATCAACTTGCTTTTTGTATGCTACTGCTAAGTGTGGTAACTTGAACCGATGCACTGGTGTGCGAGGTTCTATGATGGTTGTCCTTCGGTCTGCCAACGGTAACGTCTTCGCTCTGTCAGAGTGGTGCACAACCAAACTGCAAATATTATGTAATCCCTGCCATCTATTTAATTCATAGAAATTTACTACATATTTCGGTACGGAACAACTACCTACAAGAAAAGAGGTAACTAGTCGGCAGCTGGTTAGAAGGTAAGCAAGGTTATAAACCCTTATGCAACTGATTTGGCAGCTTGCTTGGTGGGTCTTAAGAACACAAAAAGTCAGTACGTCCATGCACGCTTTTACCAAAATCAATCATAATTTTCTCTAAAATGAACCCGGAAAATATAAATCATCTGTTTCCAAGCGATGACACCTGACCACCGCGGTTATTTACTACGATCGATTTCTGCATTATCTTGAGAACGTAGGTCCCACAAAACTAATGGAAACAAAAGTATTCATGAGTTACTTATAGGCAAAGGAAGTAAAGAAAACACACGCCCCTAACTGTAGGGATTTTGCTCATACGCTGTTAATTAAAAGTTATTTTTTAAAAAGTAGACAGGTTATCAAACATGAAGCATCCACAAAAGTAACCTAAATGGTTTTTGAATAAGTCTACAAATTTATCATAAACGTTTTCATTGCTATATATACCTGTAGAAATCAAAAGCCCCAGGGAGAAAACATGGCGGACACGAATATGCAGATGGCGGTAGCAGTTGGGCCGTGACCTTCAAGTTAGGAGCACAAAAACAAATCGTGACTTTCACATAATTCAGATGGTTGTTACCTAATGAGAAGAAGCTTTTGCTCAACTAGCTACCGTGTCTTAAATCTGTGGATCGCTATGATCTATGTTCGCTTACCCGTGTAAAATGCGGCTGTTAAAAAGTGAAAATTCAGATTATTCTGAGTAGGTACAACTAACATCTCAGCTAGGTATCAAGATGGTGGTTAATGGATTCGAGTAAATCAGCTCCAATCATCGCTGCAGGAAGAGTATTCTGGGGTTTAACAACTCTTAAAGAGTGGAAGCTGTCATATATCTAACCTGCTATGTTGCAGGCTCAGTTTTTGTTTGTTCTAAAAGATTGGTGATACCACTAAGATTATATTGGTGGCGGAATGGGTTTCCAAAGATGTTAGAGAAGTCATGAATAACTTGCAAGTCATTCCTTAGTTTCTTACATTTTAGAAGATCTAGGTCAAGCTCGACCAGTCTTCGTTCATGTTTTGGACCTAAGTCCTCGAAAAGATTTAGTCGAGCGACCCTGGATGCCTTCTGAGCTTAATTTGTCCTTCTACAGACAGGGAAGGAGAGCGACAGTCCCGAACTTTATGTGGGGCCGTATTAGGCTCCAAGTTCCGCTGTCGGGGCTATATACATGAAATGCATCGCTTATTATGCGCACGAACTTGCATTGTTCAGGGTTAAACACTACCCCACTATCCACCGCTTAGTTGCGAAGTTGGATTAGGCCTCCCTGTTGAGAAGCAGTCTTCCTCAGTTTTGATCTCTGTCCATAGTTTCATGTCATCGGTAAAAAGAAGGAGTTCGGGAAGAATCTCTGGGGTAAGTCGTTCGTGTATATTAGAGAAAGTAGCGTCCTTAGTACTGAACCCCAGAATAGTCCACCAGGACATTGTGTTTCTCCAGAAAAGGAAGCTTCCTTGAGCTCCAAAACACTCCAGTAGGTGAGAGGACGACCAGCCGGTGAGTGGTGTTGTGATCCCGAATAACTTTAATTGAACGGTGAACCAGTCATGATTAACACCCTAAACGACTTCTCAAAGTCCAGATAAATAACATCAATTTGACATCGGCGGTTGACAACACCACTACCTCCATCTGCTGCCGTGAGCGTTTTAGCATTGATGGAGTGGCATTCTTTCAGTCCGTGTTCTAGGGGCATAGAGAAGTGATCCCGCAGTCTACCATAGATTAACGACTCCGTTATTTGAAAGCCATGGATAAAAGCGCCACTGGTCCGTATTCCTTCAGGCTTCTTCGTTGACCTCTCTTGGAGATTGGCGTTATGTGGCTCAATTTTCAAGGATTGGGTACTTTCCCTTAATTTTGAGAATCCTCGAGCAACTCGCTCAAAATTTCAGCCAATATTGATGCTCCTTCCTGCAGCACTACCACACGGGCTTCATCTGGTCGCGAAGAGGTGTCTTTTGTGGACACTGACAGTCTCCGTTACATGAGCTCAACGCCCCAATTCGCTAGTGAGATATTCGCAAACTCCTGAGCAGGTGGACGATCCAGGAAAGACTCACAAATGATAGCCAGCTAGGAACTCAGCTGCCTCAGTGTCGCTTCATTGTTTTTGAGCTGTGCCACTCCAATTCCCAACATCCAATATCTTTTTGCAGTCCTGGGTAGAACGATAGATTTCTTCGTGTCCATATCTGGGTCTTGGGGAAGGCCTTCAAGTATATGGCGGAGTTCTATCCAATAGTCCTTCCCCTTCGTCTACTACTGCCTAGGTATACCTATCAGGGCGCTGGGTGCCGATTTAATTCTTGGGGTTGCACGATTTACCAAAGGACTAAGGTGAATACGGGTCCCTTAAATGCCGTGTCACCAGATAGCTGTCCAGGTCGGCTGCAGAAAGAAGGCAGAAAGGGTGAAGAGATGTCCAGCAAAAACAGGAGAGAGGAAACGCAGAGAAACAAGTTGAATGGAGTGAAAATACTGAGGAAACCCGGGTGGATTTATAGAAGGCGGGAAAGGAAACTGTGATAAGGGGACCCTCAATACATGAGGTAGGATCACAAAATCAGGGGGGGAATGAGCCCGTGGGACCGTAGGATGGTGGCAGCACAAAAGTTTCTGTACTGGATCGAATATGCTAGAATGGGGGGAAGCAGTCGGTTGTACCGACTTAGTCCGTGTCCTAGATGTGTGGGAGCTAGCCATGCATCTCTGTGTAGCTGTCCAACCTCCAGAAGCTGTCGATAGATGGAGCGGTAGCAATCTTGGTAGGCGATGAGTTTTGGTGGCTGCAAACTCGTACGGCGGAAAGTGAGAATGCATACAGTTTTCGCCCTTCGATGAGGGATGCTCCCTGGATTGCGACGACAATTACCACAACGGCCACCGGTGAAATGTGAGAGTTGAACCTCACCTAACTTCCCTTTCGTGTGATTAAACTGAGTTAATAATTGGATACTCCAAGTGCTTTACAAACAATCTGTGAGTTGTGACCAAAGATTTTTCGGCCCACTGGAAGGTATCTTCAGGCGGGATGCAAGCTTCAATAATTCCAAAACACACCGGGTAATTCAAAAAATGGTAATGTCCAATTTTGGAACGATAGGGGACTATATTTTCTCCTGATCAGTAAGGTGCAGACAAAACTCACCGTACCACTGAAAGACAAACGGAGCACAACCTTTACACAATCATGTGTTCTAGATTGCAAGTGGGTGACAGCGCATCATAAGCTTTGGCTCAACTAATTTCGATGTCTAGAAGTCGCGAACTACAGGCTGTCTTGGTTGTTAAGCCATGCACAAACAAAGACAAAAATACGGCGGTTGAAATAGAGGAATTAGGTTAGTTGTGAGCGAACTACACCCACGTCGCAAATACCAGTCAAGTTGATGTTAAAATCATTCTTACGAGGTGGTCTGCACTAATTATGCTGGAAAAGTTCCAAGATTTGACAATCCTTAGTGAACGGGAGCTGCGCATGACATCTAACCTGCTGTGATCCAGGTTAACAGTCTGTCTGCGTCCTATGGGACTGGGGTTGGAACTAATGTTGAGTAAGCCAGCAAGTGGATGCCCAAGCGTGCTAAGAATACCATAGACGGTCGTCAAGTTGCCTCCTGGTCTTCTTTGTGAGTGGAGGTATAGACTGGCTGCTACCGGCCGTTCGCAGCATGGTTCAAGCTTAAATTCTCAAACAGATTTCTTTGATTTGTTATGGCTGCGTTCTAATGATAATATATTTCATACAACAAAGGTTACATGAATAAAAACCATTTTACAGAATTGATTGGACTTTCTACAAGAAGGCAAATGGCAGTAGTAACAAACTTCTGGCGAGGCTGGATGAAGCTCTTGAAAACTTAGTGGAAACACCTACCATTGAATTTTAAAAAATTTCGTCCTAGAATTATCAGCACCAAGTTTCCACGAAATGCTCTTCTGTCACACTGACCACGGGTTTGTAACCTTGATAGACCCACATGCTGAATTCCTCCACCAATTCTGAAGCTTCATTCTCTGTGGGTTTGAAACTATATTCGTAGCATACATCGCGTCGTAGATGCACAACCTCGCACTTTTCAGTGTTAAATGCAAGTCCACTCCTGACTCCCCGCCTTTGAAGCCCGGTCAGATTTTCTTGACTTCAGATTTTTGTCCATGGATAAACTTCATCGGGAAAAAGAAGAATTCCAGAAGAAACCAGCTAAGTCGAATCGTTTATTTTCACGAAGAAGGGAGGGGCCTTAGTGCTTGACCCAAGGGAACTCCACTTAGACATCTTTACTTTCAGACATGGATAAACTTACTGGAAATCTAAACGGACGACAACTGAAGTGCCATGATAACCGTCGATTAGCTGTGAATATAATCGGGCTAAACCTTAGTTCGTCGACCAGGCATTATCAAACGCTTCAGGAAAGCCTAGATGATGTGACTTCTGCCTCGCTGGCCAACAGTAATAGCTCACTTATCTGCTGTGGTGAGCAAACTATCAATGCAAGGGGACGCTTTCCTAAATCCGTGTTGTTCGGGGCATGATGAAGTTTATCGATGTGAAGCAACCCCTCAGACAGTCACAAATAACTGACTTAACCACTTCGGAAGGTACGGGTGACAGGATCACCGGTCTGCAGTCCTTCGAGATGTTTCACTGACCTCCTTTGGAGATTGGCCTTTTGTGGAGTAACTTTGAGGAGTGGGCACTGCTCCATAATTTGGAGAATATTTAAACAGCTTGCCCGAATACCCCGCCAAGATTGGCACTCCGTGAAAAACTGCCGCATGGATTTAGTTTATTACCGAAGAGGCATCATTTTCAGCAGTTTTAATTTGCACTGCACTACCTCGACGTTTAAGTCAATGACTAAACTACCCATTAAATAAGCCTGACACTCATGTACTCCTAGGCAGGTGATCGATGGTGAAAACGTCTTCAAATACTGATTACCTAAGAGCTCTGCTCCTTCAGTGTTGCTGCTAGTCAGCATACTGGGCCCAAATAGCTGAAGGACTCTCAGACTGAATGCGGGAACGACGACGTAAACTGGGCCTAACTTAATGCTATCGTTCATAGGCTCTCAGTGCATTTGCGTGCACTTATCGTTGGTCTAAATAATTAGTAGTAATGTCTATCACCACTCCCCTTGTGTTTGGCTCACTGGCGCCTTCATGACCAGAGTAGTTTAAGGGTGTAGTTATTGATCAGCATAGGTGACTTGAGGCGAGTTGGCATTGAAAGCGCAACAGACTGGAATATACGTAATTTTGTCAGATAGGAATCTTCAGTGGGCTTCCACATCCTGATAAAGATAGTCAGCCTCCTAATCTCCCCACTAGCGCTTTCTGAAGATCTACAACTATCGTGGTGTTTTTTATCGGTACTGTGAGCGGTTTACTAGATCTCCTGCCTGTACAGAAGGAAAGTTCGGAGCCTCCTTTTCTCAGAAATCCTACCTCCTGAAGATCATACTCCTCTTCTGGAAC